ATATCTCCAATTCCAACAATACTGGCTGAACTTTGGTTTCCCATCTTCACACTACCAAAATCTCCAACTCGGTAGTCAATAAAGTACTCCTTATGAGGAACACAATGATAAGAAGCCCCTGTATCAACAAGCCATTCAGAATCAGAATTATCAACATGACAACAATCACCGGCAGTACAAACCAATGAAACACCATCATATGAAGTAGAAGCTGTCACCGTTGTATTCTTGTCATCACCCTCTTTGTGATGATCATTTTTCTTCTTTTGCTGGTCTCTTTTCATCTTGTAGCAAAACTTTTGAATATGACCAGGTTTGCTACAATAGTGACATATAGTGGGCTCTCTCCCATCCTTAGACTTGGACCTGTACTTTGACTTGCCACGCCCCTTAGGTCCTCTACTTTTGCTTCTTCCTCTATTCTCCACCACAAGTGCTTGTGAAGTGTCAACACCCATCTCCTTTCTTCTAAGCTCTTCATTGAACATGCTCTCTTTAATGACATCCAATGAAAGCACACCATCTGGAGCTGAGTTGCTGATAGACACAACCAAAGTCTCCCAACTATTTGGCAAAGAACTCAATAGGAATAAAGCCTGCAACTCATCATCAAAAACAATTTTCATCACAGTCAACTTGTTAATGATATCTTGAAAATCACTAAGATGCTCAGAAACAGATTTTCCCGGCTTCAACTTGAGACTAACAAGCCTCTTAATCAACGAGGCCTTGTTATGAGCAGTCTTTCTCTCATAAAGACCCTCCAATTTTCTCCACAGCTCGAGTGGCTCAGTCTCTTGGGATACATGATTGAATATGCTAATATCAATCCACTGTCTAATAGTCCCCAAGGTCTTTCTCTTAAGTTTTTCCCATTCTTTATCCGTCATCTTCTCTGGTTTAGTGGGCATGTCATCCTTCTTGGTTTTATCCACATCAATTGGGTCAAACAAATCTTTACAATATAACAAATCCTCCATCATAGGACGCCAAATTGAATAATTGGTTGATGTCAATTTAACCGTAGAATGATTTCCTGACTCCATATCTACGGTTTAACCAATGCTCGATACCAAATGTTGGGGGAGAAGCAACAAGTAAGATACAACACCTATAAGGATCAACTTCAAGACAACCAACCAAACACTTGACCCAATTTACCACAATTGATTAACCAAGCACACAAAATCAGCAACACATCAAATAAACCACAATCAAATATGAAGAATAAAGATGCAAACGACACACGATTTTTATACGTGGAAAACCCCTTCGATGTGAAGGATAAAAACCACGGGACTTATAGGGAGTCCGCCCTCTTCTTCTCTTATTATGCAAATTGAGGGTAA